TTTCAAAGTTGTCTGTAAAAGAATGATTTTCAGCTAAAATATGATTTGAGTAAGTAGAATTATTTTTGTTTTTTGTATAGCTATTATAATGTTCGGAATAGCGTTTTTTGAAAGTACGGCCTGTTTGACCAATATACAATTTTGGAAAACTACCACAATTTAATTTATATACCCCCGATTTATTATTAGGATTAATTTTACCCTTATTGTTTTTAATATACTTCCCAAGCGTATTATTGGTTTTAAAAGCTACGTTAATATTTTGGTTTTTTAAATATGATGATACCTTTTCACTAGGAGCTCCTATATATGTAAGACTCTTATATCTGCAATTTGGATCTTTAATTATGGGATAAACTTGTTGAATAGCCTGTTTAAAAAGGTCCCCTTATGGGATATTTCATAAGTCATCACATACGGATATTACAATAAATAATAGTTCATCTCATCCATACAAACAAAAGCTGGCAGCATACAATAGTATGATCCATAGATTAGTTAATATTCCCCTTACCAAAGAGAACTTCACTAAAGAATTAAATATCATTAAACAAATCGCAGTAAATAATAATTTTAATTCAAAGTTAGTAGACAACATTTTAGGGAAAAACCTTTTTAAACAGGCTATTCAACAAGTTTATCCCATAATTAAAGATCCAAATTGCAGATATAAGAGTCTTACATATATAGGAGCTCCTAGTGAAAAGGTATCATCATATTTAAAAAACCAAAATATTAACGTAGCTTTTAAAACCAATAATACGCTTGGGAAGTATATTAAAAACAATAAGAGTAAAATTAATCCTAATAATAAATCGGGGGTATATAAATTAAATTGTGGTAGTTGTCCAAAATTGTATATTGGTCAAACAGGCCGTACTTTCAAAAAACGCTATTCCGAACATTATAATAGCTATACAAAAAACAAAAATAATTCTACTTACTCAAATCATAATTTAGCTGAAAATCATTCTTTACAGACAACTTTGAAATTTTACATGTAGAAAATAAGAGCCTTAAATTAAACCATTTAGAAACACTTGAAATAAATAGATTTAAAAATTCAGATAACTTACTAAATGATCAATTAGATATTAATAATTCACCCTTATTAAATCTCTTTCCCAGTTTTCTGTGAGATAATCCCGGTAATGGGCTATCTTATTGTTATCTGATGGATATTATAATTACCTAAGTACCCTTATTTACTTTAAATAGTTAGTTTATTTTGTAATGTTATTGATGTTTTCTTAAGTACTTTGTTTTGTTAAATTATTTCGTATATATATTGGATACCGAATTGTAAACAGTCACATTTGAAAAAGAAGTTGTACTTCGAAACATGTCATGTTAGTGTTTTTTTTAAAAATTTTTATTTTTAAAATAAAAGTGTGAAAATCTACCAAATTTGGTTTTACTCTTTCAAAAATATATGGGTGATATATTATGTTAATATGTGGATATAAAGCACATGCGCCATTTGAAATGTTTTCTCAAAAATGGGGCAAACCACATTCTTCATTTCAGATCAGCAGGTGAGCTTTTGGTGGCTTTAGTTACCCATATTTTGAAAAATTATAATTCCATGACCAAACCAATTTTGTGATATTATCATACAGGTCTAGCATCCGGAAACATAACTATTATAGCTATGTCTCAAGCTATGTCCCAGGCTATGTTCAAAGAGTTTGTAACCACTGCTGTTGATTTTACAATTTAATTGTTTTACGCTCATTAATAAAGGTCCTGGATTGAGCTATACGGTAAAACCAAATTCTAATCTACAAGAGTTTTTTATAATTTATCTATTTTTGAATAGTATTCGGTACATTATAAAATTTGACTCATCTCAATGAGATAGATCTCATCTACGATGAAAGGTCTCCAATCAGCCTATTATATTTCTGAGGTCCTCAAGACGTTGATTACTATCCAAATCAGCAAATCCTTGTAGTTTTCTAGAGGTCAATCATTCATTATATTTCTTAGGTCCTCAAAACGTTAATTACTATCCAAATCAGCAAATCTTCCTTCATATAACCAGGTAAAGAACTTCTAAATCATTCTTCATAAAAAACCATTTAAATGTTGCCAAGCTAAAAGATTTAGATCTTTTAATGGATAAATCGGATAGGTAGGACGGATGAGACGAACGTTTTGAATAATAAAACAAAATATATCTATTTTAGAGAAACCAATATATTCAAGGCGTATTTAATCTAATGGTTCTTAAAAATGAAAAAGAATCTCTTTATCAGAGGGCCATCTCGATAGAAATGAATTCGACTTCCTGACACCAAATTCACAAAGGAATGTCAATCCAAAATGAAATTCGATTTGTTACTCATTTTTCCTGCATTATTTCTTGTAATTTATTGTAAATATAACGTGTTAGATTACATCAAGTTCATGTTTATATAATCTTCGAGTAAAATCCCTATTACGTTTTGATACGCATTAGTACAAACTTGTCCAGTTAAAGCTTCTGTAGTATTTCCTCTGGCTTTGTCTTGATCTATTTTGTATTATACGAGATTTCCTCTTCTTTCTGTTTTGTGACTTTTTTCGTTAAGACTTCTAATTGTCTTTTTTGGGTTATCTTTCGAATATAATAAAAGAATAATTAGGATTATTAAATTATTAATTTTACAAATATAATTCATTATAGTATTTCCAAATAACAAAAATCCATGTTTCAAATCCTACGAAATTCGTGAATGACAAGATAATTTATTATTACATAGATATCAAATTTATCTTATTTTTATCTGAATCATTTTGTAACATTTGCAGTTAGAAGGTTAGTGCTACTAAAAGCTGTTGAATAGTAACGTTTAAGAAGATTAAGAGAAATAAGCACTGATAACAGAGCCGTATTTAAAGCACACCTCTTAATACTTAAAAAACTATGAATAGTATGTTATGAATATGCTAAACCTAACACCGCTACATATATTTATTCAAGGCGAAGCCAGATCTGTCATATACATACTTCACAAAGGTTCATCATCCGCAAGCAGTTTGCATGGAAGTAAATAGAGCGAGCTGTATAAAGAGAACAACCAAATAATGGAAATACCTTCTGACAAAATGCTCCCAAAGTATAGCTTTCAGAAGCAATATAAAGTAAGTATACCAGAAAGGGAAGCGTGGACAGGAGGACCTCCTATTCATGCAGAATTCACCTGGTATACAGACGGCTCCACACCGATGGAGGTTCAAGACTAGGTATATATAGTACCAAGCCACAGACAAGAATCTCACTGAGCAAAAGAGATATTAAGACATAAGATAAATGGAAAAACCATTGTCATATACTCAGTTCTATGCAGGTACACTAAAAACTTATGTGGGACTGTTTGGAAGTACTAACAGGGCTTGGTAGTCAAAACAGACCAACCTTAGCCTGGGTACCAGGTCACAGAGGACATAAGTTTAACGAAGAGGCTGATTTTCTGGCCCGAGAAGAAGACTCAAAGGTTATTACTGGCCCAGAACCCTTCTGTGGTGTCACAGAGACAGCTATCAGAATTATGCACAAAGCAGTGGATGTTTAAAAAATCTCAGGAATGGTTGAAAAATTTAATAGAACAGAAACAGACCAAAGATTTCTTGAAAGTACCATAGCCTAAACTCACCGAGCATCTATTAAGCCATAGCAAGAAAAATACTAGAGTTCTAATATGTCTACTAACCGGGCATTCTAGGCTTAACAAACCTATGTATAATATCGGTTTGACAGAAGAGACTTTACGCTGATTCTGTCTGGAAGAGGAGGAAACTACAGAGCACGTATTACGCTACTTCAAGGGTCTATCAAGACTGAGATGCCTTACGCTTGGAGAAGAAAAACGAAGGGCAACTAGCTACGCTGGGAAACTACTTTTGGAGTCAACTACAAAAGACCGAACTACATAAGATACTCTAAAAAACGATTACAGGATATCGACAATAGATCTGAGGAGGTGGAGGTGAGGAAGGCCACATGGCTCACAGTCCTATTTAAATCTAGTCTAATCTACTGTTCCCAATCGAAAGATTCGGTGTTCAAATCCACGCTAAAGACAAATTCATTTAAAAAAAAATGGTACTTCATTTGACCATCAAGAGCGAGAGAGTAATGTTTTGCGATAAAAGCTAATTTAATATTTTTATTTCATTAAATATACATATGAAATATTGTGTTCTTTAATTTCACTTTATTTTGAAAACACAAGTAAATGTTTACTGGTTTTGAGGTTGATTATCGCGAAACATTTCTAGGAATTCACTTTCCGTTAATGTTTAAATAGGGTATTGGAAACGTCATGAATTCAAATTTTGTGTTAATAATTATTAAAATAGTTATTTTATCTTAAAAACATCTGTATGCAATTTTCTAGATTTTCTTTAGTTTCGCACTCAAACTCGTCTTCGTGCGATATCTTAATCATTCATCATATACACTCTTGCTGCATAAACATTATTTGCACACATTGTCGCTAATTTCTAGTAAAGCTCTGCATAGTTTTTTTTTTAATATAGAGACTAAATGAATCGGCGAAATAAAAGTTTAGCTTATTTAATTGAGGATATTTTTTTTGACAGTTTTTCTTCCTTTTAACTGTCTGACTTATCAGAGCCAGGGCCATGTCTTGCCCCGGCTGCCCTCCCCCTCGCCCCTTAGAGACTGCTCTTGCATAGATATAATTTAAAAATATTTTGTGAATTCGAATGAATTTTTAATAATTCGGTAGCAATGTGATTATTTTCCCATTACATTTTTACTAATTACCCAATTATTTTGCAAACTAATACGATATATACATTGGAACGTGCGTATTCCTAACCTTGGCATTGCTTAAAAAAATTTTTGATCACACTATAATTTATTATTCCGTTTTAGTTATCACTTTTTCTAATCTGTATATGACGAAACGCCGACCCTCTGAGCAATTTTATCATTATATGTATACTAAGAGTTTATCTATAAAGTTGTTGATCTTTAAAATTATTCTCAGTTGTTGATAACTCATTCATCCAAACGCCAAGACGAGCCATGATGAAGTAAGTGAAGCTGGTACTTCCGGACACGAGAGAATCATTTTTTTAGTGTAACAAGAAAGAATAACAAGAGGATATTAAGAAAATAATGCTAGAGAAACTTGAAACCATGGATAGACAAGAGCATCAAGCACCAAGTGAGTAAAGTTTTAAATTTTTTTAATTTAAATAATGTGATTTTGGTGATTTACCGCTAACTTTTAAATTGTTTTAATAATCTCAAGAATTAATTTCTTTAATTTAACACTAGTAGGCATATCAGTGACAAATTTTAACTAATTTAATTGCCGTAATATTCATGTAAACTGTTTAAAAATAAGCATTAGGTCGATGAATGTTTCAAATAAAATATAAAATGTAAATTTTATTCTTTCAGAATGAACTATTCTTAATTAGTTGGGCATTTAGAAAACATAAATTGATTTAGTGTATTTTTGATTATTTTGTGTTTTTTCATACGGACGCGAACGTCTAAACAACTAAAACTATATATAATTGCCTTTTAAATTAAAGTTAACAAATCACATTTTGATAAATTGCTTTCATAAAAAGAAGCCAAAAATGTATAATACACGCTTGTAACCAATTTTATGAATGAAAAATAACGTTAAATGGCTCATTTATTTCCATTTCCACCTATTAAGGAAAACTTATTTTCATATTAACCATATAAACTGCTAAACAATTGAAATTGATAAATTTTTAATATTTAAAATAAAAAACTTCTAGAAAATATAATTAAATGATACATACATTAATTTTATAATGTAACCAAAGACACAAAGCGAAACTAATCTTCAATGGAAAAAATAAGTAATTTAAAAATAAAGTAACTAAAAAAATAACATTTAATTTTTTTATTAAAAAGTTTACATCGTTCCAAGAAAATGATATCGTGTTTTTCTTACTTTATTTGGAAGACTCATTATCAAATAATTGAAACAGTGCTGATGGATGATTTCCCCAATTTTTGGAACTCATGAGCCAATTGTAATATTTGAGGTGAACCTATAGATAGATAATGTACTGTGAAATTATTTTAACGTTTTTAAATTATAATGTCTAGTCAATTAGAATTGTTGAGCAGTGTATTATTTTACTTTCAACTCGTGTGCTAAAAGTATCTACTTACATAATTCCAATAGGTCTGTGGACTGAAATGTGTGCACCAAACGACACAATTTTACGAATAAAGACACTAACAAATAATAATATATTAATTAACTCTAATTAAAAAAAAATAACATATTAATTAACGCTAAGATCATTTTTAAAAATAAAATGACGTTACTTGACAAAAACAATCGTATTTTGCATATTTACATATCACCCACATGTAAAGAATGTAAAATATTTTTAAAAATTTGTATCTAGATCAACTCTTATCTATCACTGCAGTCTGGATATTAAGAATTATAATGCTTTTTCAAGGTGATAATTTTTATTCAGGCCATTTTTGTGAAACTGTCCAAATGTGTCATTCAGTTATAAATAACAAATTAAAAATTTATTTTCAAATTAATTTGTTGATGTGAGAGTTAACATAAACAATAGTGACGTTAAAAAAATATAGTTCATAAATTAACTAGAATGAAAATATTCTATATTATATTCTTCATAGTTTAACAGACCCCCTCCCCTCATTTTTATTTAGATTTTTCAGAATCAATAGGCTTCATCCCCTTAAAATGCTTGATTTTTACTGAAAATTTCATGTTGATATCGCTTTTGGTGTTTGAATTCAATTTTTTTTTATCTCAACCCTCCATTTTGTTCACATTTTTTTTTTAAATCAATAGGCTTTGTCCCCCTTATAAAGCTTGATTTGTGCTAAAAATTTCTAGTTGATATTTTTTTCGTTTTTGAGTTAGGATTTATTTAAATATTTCTTTGACTTTTTTGATATGTCTACCCCTCTCAACCCCCCCATTTTAATTAGATTTTTGTAATATTTCAATTCATCTTAACCCCCTCATTTTTATTCAGATTTTTTTCAGAATCAATAAGCTGCATCCTCTTATAAAGCTTGATTCTTCCTGAGGATTTCAATTTGATATCGTTTTTTGTTTCTAAGTTAGGATTTTTTTCAATATTTCAACCCCTCCTTATTCTCCTATTTTTATTCAATTTTTTTTTCGGAAACAATGCTCTTCATTCCCTTGTACTGATTTTTACTAAAAATTTCATGTTTGATTTATATTTTATTTTTAATATTTTAATCTTTCTTATCCCCCTATTTTTATTGAAAAATTTAAGTTGATATCTTTTTTGTTTTTGAGTAAGGACTGTTTTTAATATTTCAACTCCCCTTAACCCTTTTTCAGAATCAATAGGGTTCTTCCTCTTATAAAGCTTGCTTTTCCTGAAGATGTCAATTTGATATCGTTTTTCGTTTCTGAATTAGGATTTTTATATTTCAACCCCCCTTATCCCCCATTTTTATTGAGATTTTTTTTTTTTTCAGAATTAATAGGCTTCATTGCCTTGTAGAGCTTGATTTTTACTAAAACTTTCATGTTGATATAGCTTTTCATTTTTGATTTATTTATTTTTTTTTTAATTTCACCCCCCTAAACTCCCATTTAATCAGATTTTTTTTAAGAAACCAAGGGCCTCATTCCCTTGTAGAGCTTGATTTTTGCTAAAAATTTCCTGTTGATATCGCTTTTCATTTTTGATTAATGACTTTTTTTTAATATGTCAACTCCTCTCGATCCCCCATTTTAATTCAGAGTTTTTCAGGCTTCATCTTCTTATACAGAATGATTTTACTAAGCATTTCATGTTGATATTGCTTTTCGTTTTTGATTTTTGATTTTTTTTTTATTTTAACTCCCCCTTAACCCCCCATTTTTCCAAAAGCAATAGAGCTTGATTATAGCTAAAAAAAATCAAGTTGATATCATTTTTAGTTTCTAAGTTAGAATTTTTCAATAGACTTTGTCTCCTTATAGAGCTTGATTTTTCCTGAAAATTTAAAATTGATATCGTTTTTCATTTTTGACTTATCGTGCAAACAAAAAACTGACATCGGACGGAAGCAAATGCATAATAGTCTTTTCCTACGCCCTTGTCAGTAAACGTTAAAAATCGCACTGTCAACATTCCTTGTAAATGACATTTAACAATAGCATACACGTAACGAGATCTAATGAGAAAATACACGTGCGTTTTGATAAGAAAACTTAAATTTAGTCATTTATATTGTCATTATCTTATCATTTATATTGTCAATTTTTGTAACAAAATATTATTGTATTCGAACATTTTCTCAACTTTACCTACGAATATTTCTGTTAGTATACAAAGTGAGGAAATTATGAGCACTTCTCCGGAGACTTTAGAAAAAGCTCAAGCTGCTACACATAATTTGTTACCGCTAAAATCTACAGAAAGGTACGAAATGACCTATCGAAAATTTATGGATTGGCGACACAAGCATAACGTTAAATCCTTTTTGGAGAATGTTTTAAGAAAGTATAGTACGTTACACGAGTTGTAAGCCCATTACTCACTCGCCGCTATGTAATGGGTTACTTACAACTCTTGTTGCGCAATATACTATTACAGGCTACTGTGTAAAGAGTATAATCATTTTTGTTGCGGAGATGGAAAACAAAAAAAAAATAGAATATTTAATTTAAAAAACCTCATTTGTTTACTCGATTCAAAATATTTTTTCCGTTGTTCTATTTAATACTCGTATCTTCAACGACACTCTTATTTCCTTTCAGGTGTTTTCAGTCTTTTTCTTAATTTTGTCTAGATATGAATCGTTTTTTATTATTTATGTTTTTACCTACTATAAAATATCATTCAAATTACTTACAAAAACGATATTTTATTTAAAATAAATATATACACAATTCTTCTGTTCCAGAATTTTAAACGGTGTTTTCCAGATAATGTTATTTATTTATTTATTTTATTTTCACAACATACTCTTGCCGTTTCTTTAATTCTATGTTGTTTTTACTTAAATGTGTTTTTTACATGAATATTATCAGATTTCTTCATAAACTATAGAATGTACTCTAGTGGAAAAAATTAAGGGATCAAAAAAAATCTCCATTTTTTGCGATTTTTCGAGTGGCTGTATCTTTGGTAAAAATGGTCGTAGGTAAATGAAAAGACAAAGTAATTTGAAGCTTGATGTGTTTAGTTTACGGATCTTGCAATGAAAAAATTTTTTAACCACCAATTTGCATAAAATCCTGATGAATATCATGGATAGAAAAACGCGATCCTTCACTTTCTTCGAAAATTCACTAGCATGAAACAATGGAACGGCTTGATGGATCAGGTTGAAATTGTGTAGGGCTTTCGAAGGAACAATGGCTTGTAAGATGCAAATGCAAAATTTTTCATTTTCCCAATATTCTCAATGTGGCACGTGATTTTCTAAAAAATTTCATAAAGACCTGTTTTCCGAAATTCTTCAAAGTCATGCTAGGGATGAAAAATATAATTAAAAATGAGTGATTCGATTAGTAATGGCAATCTTCTAGAGATATTCATTTATATTTACAGAGAAATTTTAATAAAACCATCTAAAAAATTTATAAAATTTTAGAGTAACCGTTAAGTGTTGATTTCCCATTCGAAAATTTGTAGATTTTCTATAGTGGCTCTTAGATAAATTATACTATACAACTCGAGTAAATTGTCCGCATCGCACTCGTCATATAGCTATCATATCCATAAACTACCATTCTACTTTTGACATAAGCAACAGCTGTCAAAAATTGTCCTAACTGGTACAAAAACTTTTATTTCAGAAGTAACGCTCAATCAATTTAAAGATTATATACAATTGACATAATAAAGAAAATATTAAAATAACAGACCTCAAATTGACAGATTAAAAAGTGTCACGACCTATTTGATTAAAATTTTATCAAAAATAATACCATGAGACTACAAATTTTATCGATAAAATTTTTGTTTCCACGAAAACGTCTTTAGGAAAACCCACAAAAACAACCAAATTTTTTCTTTAATCGGCTTGTTTAAGTGGTTTTTAGTGTCCGACCGAAGGTCAGTTTTTGCCCGAAGACGAAGCCGATTGTTCGGCTCTTTTCGTAACCTTCGGCTGTAGCCGAAGTCGAAGGTTTATTATTAAGACTTAAAATTGTGT